CCGTTATCCGGGACTGGGCGCACAAAGCTCCGCCGACGCCGCCCTCCTCGGCACCTCCCGCCCGGCCGCAGTCGCTGAAGACGGACTCGGATTCGGAGTGCGCCGGGGGGAGGTCGATGTCCGTCTGGTCCGAATTGAGCATCATCTTCGCGGGGCGGACGGACAGACGGATGCTTCGGGGGGTGTGGGATGTCAGGACAGACTGACCCGGGCTCAGTGTTGAAGCAGGAGAAGGCTCACGGCAAGCCCCTGGTTGTTCTCCTCCTCTTCCCCCTCATCCTCCACAAGCGGATTTCGAATTTTTCCCTTTTTCCCGTCGGGCGGGCGACAACTTTCGCGGTAAAGAAGGCGAGGAAGACGGCGGGACGCATAGAAATTAAGTCTAAGTCACAAAATATCCCCTGCTCATGCGGGCAGAGGGGCTGCGGGCTCCTCCGTGCGGGACCCAGCGTAGCAGCCCTCAGGTGTCAGAGCCGAAATCCTCCCGCGGGCTCTAGGAAAGAGAAGCACAGGGGCTCTCAGCTCAAGGACGAGCTCTGTTTGGACCCCGAGCCGGAGCAGGGGATGCCCCAAAGGGCTGGGCTGGGGCTCTGGGGGGCAAGGGGGAGCCGATGGGAGAAGGTGGAAGCCGTTTCTCCCCATCTCCGGAGGGACGACAGGTGGTGGATGAGCGGAGGGGGAAAAACCAGAAGGGGAGGGGGGTTCATTGTGTCCTAAATGAGCCCGTATGTCACGGATCCTGGCACCCCCGACATATGGAACCCAACACAGCTGCTTTGCTTGATGTGCCCGAATAGACGCTGGCTCCCTGCTCCCTCCGGGATGGAAAAGCTGCTTCTCCTCCCCCTCCACGGCTCCGGCATCCCCAGGGCTCCAGGCTGGGAAAAGCAGGGGTTGCCATAGGCGCATCCTCCCCTCGGCACAGGCAGGGGAAGGTTTGGGGTGGAGGAGAGGAAGGGGAGCAAACTTTGTATGGGGAGGCGTCCAGGCAGCGATGGGGCCACATTCACCTCTCCCAGACCTGTAACGAGCTGCACCACTGAGAAATGGAAACGAAATGGATATGGACCGGGGTGAAATAGGTCCACATCCCGTTTTAAACCACTGCTGGGGGGCAGAGCCCTGGATGTGATGATCCTTATGGCCCCTTCCAGCCCAAACCGTGCTGTGAGTCCACACAAACACAAGGAACCCCACAAAAGCATCCGCACAGTCCCCCCAAAACATACCTGGCTGTTCCCCTGCGTGCTGACACACACACACACGATGTTCACGGTCACACACAGACGCGTTTCCCAGCACTTACCCGCAGATGGTCCCAGCCAAAAGCTCCGTGAGAATCCCACATCCATTTCTGCACGATAATTCACACCCGCGCTCATAAATCTCCCCCAGGTCAGACATCTCTGAACACACACACACACACACTCACCTGTGATATTCAGTTTTCACATTAAAAAATCACCTGGGCTTTTTTCCTCTAACACAAAACCGTGAGAGCGTCAGAAAACCATCCCAATCCTTAACAAAAAGTTACTTTTGTGAAGTCCCGGAGATGACGGAAACGTGGCTTTTGGGGTCCATGGATCTGCCCTCTCAAGGCTTGGTGCTTGCAATAACCTTAAAGCAGGACTGGGTTTGGGTTCGGGTTTGGGTTAGGGATTGAGTTTGCGTTAGGGATTGAGTTTGGGTTTGGGATTGGGTTCGGGTTCAGGTTTAAGTTGCTCTCCCTGCCATCAGCTCCAGGGACAAACCAGCCAGGACCAAGGACCATGACACGCACAGGACACACAGCCCCGACTCCTGCATCTCCTTTAACCTCCTCCATCCCTCTCCTGCTGTCATTTATTTTCTCCCTCTGCTCTTGCTCCTTTCCCAAACCCAGGACCCGTTTTCTGGTGCTGAGGGGACCCATCCTGCCCTGCCAGCCATGGCTGCAGGCTCCAGGGAGGCAGGAGAAGGAGGCAAGGTTGGCGCTGGGGTCAGACTCATCCCAGAGCAGCTCTGCCCTTCCAGCTCCATGGCGAAAAGTTGTGTGTGGACATCCCAGGACCACGCTCACATGTGCAGCTTCTCTTCAAATGCTCAACCTTGCTCTTGGGGATGGGGAAGTGCATTTGGTCTCTTGCAGTGGCTTTACCGCATCTCCCTCATCTTCCATCTCCCTCATCTTCCATCTCCCTCATCTTCCATCTCCCTCATCTTCCATCTCCCTCATCTTCCATCTCCCTCATCTTCCATCTCCCTCATCTTCCATCTCCCTCATCTTCCATCTCCCTCATCTTCCATCTCCCTCATCTTCCATCTCCCTCTTCTTCCATCCCCTCTTCTTCCATCCCCTCATCTTCCATCCCCTCTCCTTCCATCTCCCTCATCTTCCATCTCCCTCATCTTCCATCTCCCTCATCTTCCATCTCCCTCTTCTTCCATCCCCTCTTCTTCCATCCCCTCTTCTTCCATTCCCTCTTCTTCCATCCCCTCTTCTTCCCTCTCCCTCTTCTCCCACCTCCGCTGCTCTGAAAGCAACTCCTGAGCCCCTCTTGCTCTATGAACTCATCCGATGGACGTGCAGCAACCACAGAGCGGCTCCGCTGCCCCCTGGCCCTGTCCCTTCAGCGCAGGGCAGAGACAAACACCCCCTCCTGTCCTGTCCCCTACTCCCGAGGTGTGGGTGCCTCTCATGAGGCTGCAAAATCTCCTTCTCCATGGGCAGATGGGGATGGTGACCTGGCCCAGGAGCCCCTCGCTGGTCCGCAGAGGGCTCAGGCTGTGGGAGACGTCGCTGTTGAGGTCTCAGCATCCTTGTGAGTGGATTTAAAGTGTACAGACACAGGAGGCAGGGTCCTGCATGGGGTCCCTCTGTTCTGGGTCACAGACGGATGTCAGCAGGAGACACCGGACCATTTGCATGGAGAGGAGTTGAAGCACTGGACCCAGATGAGCTCCTTCTCCCATTCCTCCTTCGCTGGCTTAGTTCAGTCCTCAAAAAGCTTCTTCTTCACATGGACGACTTGTGCCCACAGGGGCTCTTTTCCCTCTTTCCTCCCTAAACTGCCTCTTTCCTAAATTCATCTATGGCAAGAACCTCGTTTAAACCCACACTTGCTCCAGTCTTGCCTTCAACAAAACCCCTTTAATGCCTAAACCCCTGGTGAGACGCAGGGCTCCCCGTCTCCTCTCTGCTCGCACTCCAGCCCAGCAGAGTGACGATTTTTGAAGGCTCCCTGGCCATGCAAAGGGGGCTCGGGCTGCATCTGGGACCCACTTTCAGGTCATCAGGATGGAGTTTCCTTTTCTTTTCCCTCACCAGAACCCCCCATTGCCACCACCAAAGCTCGAAGCTGAGGATGCACAGGCGGGTTTTTGGGTTAAACCTCATGCTAGGGGCAAGCGGAAGGGCCAAGCCCCTTTGCTGTCCCTCTCCCCACCATTTCCACAGCCCCAAACCTGGCAGCAACATCCCTGAGCCCCACTCGCCCATCCCCGGGGTTGTCCACCTTACCCCCAAAAGCCGATGACCATTCCCAGGCTCCGGCTTTGCTCTTCCAGCGGGATGAAGCCCAAATAATCCAGGGAGGGAGGAACCGCTTGGCTCATCCCTCCATCGAAGAGGCAGAAAGTTTCGTCCTGCTTCGTGAGATGGACCTGGGGGGTCAAGGGGAGCCCCCACGGCCCCGGGGCCCGGCCATGCTGCTCTTTGGGTGGGAATGCACCAGGCGTTGAGATGGCCACCCCATATGTCCCATACCCTATATATACACCCCAGCCTCGCACGGCGGGCCCG